TGCATCACTAGTAGGTCAGTAACTCCATGGGGCTACAGTATGTCGTCAGCAACTGAAGTTGGTTGTATGATGTAAATGATTACCTTCTCTGCATCACTAGTAGGTCAGTAACTCCATGGGGCTACAGTATGTCGTCAGCAACTGAAGTTGGTTGTATGAGGTAAATGATTACCTTCTCTGCATCACTAGTAGGTCAGTAACTCCATGGGGCTACAGTATGTCGTCCAGCAACTGAAGTTGGTTGTATGAGGTAAATGATTACCTTCTCTGCATCACCAGTAGGTCAGTAACTCCATGGGGCTACAGTATGTCGTCAGCAACTGAAGTTGGTTGTATGAGGTAAATGATTACCTTCTCTGCATCACTAGTAGGTCAGTAACTCCATGGGGCTACAGTATGTCGTCAGCAACTGAAGTTGGTTGTATGATGTAAATGATTACCTTCTCTGCCATCACTAGTAGGCAGTAACTCCATGGGGCTACAGTATGTCGTCAGCAACTGAAGTTGGTTGTATGAGGTAAATGATTACCTTCTCTGCATCACCAGTAGGTCAGTAACTCCATGGGGCTACAGTATGTCGTCAGCAACTGAAGTTGGTTGTATGAGGTAAATGATTACCTTCTCTGCATCACTAGTAGGTCAGTAACTCCATGGGGCTACAGTATGTCGTCAGCAACTGAAGTTGGTTGTATGAGGTAAATGATTACCTTCTGCATCACCAGTAGGTCAGTAACTCCATGGGGCTACAGTATGTCGTCAGCAACTGAAGTTGGTTGTATGAGGTAAATGATTACCTTCTCTGCATCACCAGTAGGTCAGTAACTCCATGGGGCTACAGTATGTCGTCAGCAACTGAAGTTGGTTGTATGAGGTAAATGATTACCTTCTCTGCATCACCAGTAGGTCAGTAACTCCATGGGGCTACAGTATGTCGTCAGCAACTGAAGTTGGTTGTATGAGGTAAATGATTACCTTCTCTGCATCACCAGTAGGTCAGTAACTCCATGGGGCTACAGTATGTCGTCAGCAACTGAAGTTGGTTGTATGATGTAAATGATTACCTTCTCTGCATCACTAGTAGGTCAGTAACTCCATGGGGCTACAGTATGTCGTCAGCAACTGAAGTTGGTTGTATGAGGTAAATGATTACCTTCTCTGCATCACTAGTAGGTCAGTAACTGCATGGGGCTACAGTATGTCGTCAGCAACTGAAGTTGGTTGTATGAGGTAAATGATTACCTTCTGCATCACCAGTAGGTCAGTAACTCCATGGGGCTACAGTATGTCGTCAGCAACTGAAGTTGGTTGTATGATGTAAATGATTACCTTCTCTGCATCACTAGTAGGTCAGTAACTCCATGGGGCTACAGTATGTCGTCAGCAACTGAAGTTGGTTGTATGAGGTAAATGATTACCTTCTCTGCATCACTAGTAGGTCAGTAACTCCATGGGGCTACAGTATGTCGTCAGCAACTGAAGTTGGTTGTATGATGTAAATGATTACCTTCTCTGCATCACCAGTAGGTCAGTAACTCCATGGGGCTACAGTATGTCGTCAGCAACTGAAGTTGGTTGTATGATGTAAATGATTACCTTCTCTGCATCACCAGTAGGTCAGTAACTCCATGGGGCTACAGTATGTCGTCAGCAACTGAAGTTGGTTGTATGAGGTAAATGATTACCTTCTCTGCATCACCAGTAGGTCAGTAACTCCATGGGGCTACAGTATGTCGTCAGCAACTGAAGTTGGTTGTATGATGTAAATGATTACCTTCTCTGCATCACCAGTAGGTCAGTAACTCCATGGGGCTACAGTATGTCGTCAGCAACTGAAGTTGGTTGTATGAGTCTTCCACATGGCTCGGGGGGTTGGTTGATTGTCGTCATAGCCTGATGGTGTGGACCATTGTTCACAGAATCAATCACTGGTTTGAATATTGTGGAGTGTGGTGTTAAACAACAAGCAGATAGCCCAGTGGTTAGAAACCCTGCCCGTTGCATTCACCCTGAACGTAAAGCTGGTTTGTCAGCTGCTTGTCCAGCTTGTGTCTGACCAATATGGTGGACATATGTGATATATCATACTGAGCCTGTGTATATATATCGCTGAAATATTGTTGAGTCAGTTTAAATTCTTTTGAATTTAATTCTCTCACTCAGTGATGCCCTATTTAGCAGGTTTAGCCTGTAAAATATTGCCACCTGTCATTCAAACCACACATAATTCATGAGGAGAGAGGCTGACATGATTGACAGTCAGAATATATACTGATTAGCCTTCTGCATGCTGGTGGAATCTTACTTTGTTTTCTTCTGTGCCTTATATGTTGCTGGGGGCATTGAAGTTGGGTTTGAATCCCAGATTTGCTCTCATGTTTTAGGTTTGTCAGCACCAACTCAATGTTAGTTTGTTTCATGAAGTAAGTGTCCAAGACCTGCTTCATATGAGGCTTTCCTCCCTCATCGGGATGTACCTGACATGCTGTTCATAGTGGCGCTATACCAGGGCCCCTATTCTCGAAAGGATCCTAGCCCAAGGATGTCCTAACTTTGATCCTAGGGTCTAGGATAGTTGTCCTACCTTATTCTCGAAAAGTATCCTAGCGCTAGGATGTCCTAACTTAGGACAAATACTAGGATAGGTTCTGACGTGTCCTAAGTCTATCTTAGTGGAAGTCAACATAGAGTGGTACTTGTTTGTTCACCAATTTTGACGTCAAACAAAATAACTCGTCAAACTTACATTTGAATTTACAACAGCACACAGTTTTGATGAGTTAAGAAGAGTTTATTCAGTTCATATTATCAATTAATCGGTAATGAATAGACACACTTGTTGCAATGCACGCATTCTTTAGATCTACAAAGAGATTTGTTCAATTCTTTCCTGTATGTTCGGCCTTTTAATCACAACATTGCTCTTTTCAGTCACATTCATTAAAATGTCAATGTCAAGGCCAACTTGATGAGAAGTAACTCCTGTTTATTTCCTAGGTGAATTTTTCAGTTTGTGAGATGACGCATAATGAGAGTTCAAGTCATGATTTTCATAACCAAACAAAAACAATGAAAATGTGTTTTCAGACTGAACATATCTTTAATATCCTTATTTCTGTTTTTGGCAGACTTTCAAATTCTGAAGTAAAATTGTTATCGCCTTGTCAAAAACATTTCCAATTACTATAATGTGATGAAAATATCGAATAATTTCTTCTAGATCTACTAAGTCCATCAAAAGCTGAATTTCCTTATATTATGTGTTTTTTTATGCCATGAATCATGGGTATTATTTAGGGGAATCCCCAACTAAATGAAGGTTTTTCTATCTCACCTCCTGAAGAGCTCGCTATCCTAGCTAGGATAGGCAGCACAAGTTAGGACAGGGATAGGATTGTTTCGAGAATGGGTCTTATCCTTACGGTAGGATGTCTTAACTTCTGTCTTAAATACTTAGGATCTGTCTTAGCTGGGACACTTTCGAGAATAGGGGCCCAGACTCTCAAACTTGTACACTATATGATGAGGCCAGATATAGACTGGAGATAGCCCTGTTGTTGTATGTCAGACTGAAGGTTTTAAAGTAAATAGACTGGAGATAGGGGCAGTTGTTAGACCGATAGCCCTGTTGTTGTATGTCAGACTGAAGGCTTTTAAAGTAAATAGACTGAGATAGGGGCAGTTGTTAGACCGATAGCCCTGTTGTTGTATGTCAGACTGAAGGCTTTTAAAGTAAATAGACTGGAGATAGGGGCAGTTGTTAGACCGATAGCCCTGTTGTTGTATGTCAGACTGAAGGCTTTAAAGTAAATAGACTGGAGATAGGGGCAGTTGTTAGACCGATAGCCCTGTTGTTGTATGTCAGACTGTAAGCTTTTAAAGTAAATAGACTGGAGATAGGGGCAGTTGTTAGACCGATAGCCCTGTTGTTGTATGTCAGACTGAAGGCTTTTAAAGTAAATAGACTGGAGATAGGGGCAGTTGTTAGACCGATAGCCCTGTTGTTGTATGTCAGACTGTAAGCTTTTAAAGTAAATAGACTGGAGATAGGGGCAGTTGTTAGACCGATAGCCCTGTTGTTGTATGTCAGACTGTAAGCTTTTAAAGTAAATAGACTTGAGATAGGGGCAGTTGTTAGACCGATAGCCCTGTTGTTGTATGTCAGACTGAAGGCTTTTAAAGTAAATAGACTGGAGATAGGGGCAGTTGTTAGACCGATAGCCCTGTTGTTGTATGTCAGACTGTAAGCTTTTAAAGTAAATAGACTTGAGATAGGGGCAGTTGTTAGACCGATAGCCCTGTTGTTGTATGTCAGACTGAAGGCTTTTAAAGTAAATAGACTGGAGATAGGGGCAGTTGTTAGACCGATAGCCCTGTTGTTGTATGTCAGACTGAAGGCTTTTAAAGTAAAATAGACTTGAGATAGGGCAGCTTTTTGTTAGACCGATAGCCCTGTTGTTGTATGTCAGACTGAAGGCTTTTAAAAGTAAATAGACTTGAGATAGGGCAGACTTGTTAGACCGATAGCCCTGTTGTTGTATGTCAGACTGTAGGCTTTTAAAGTAAATAGACTGAGATAGGGGCAGTTGTTAGACCCGATAGCCCCTGTTGTTGTAGATGTCAGACTGAAGGCTTTTAAAGTAAATAGACTTGAGATAGGGGCAGTTGTTAGACCGATAGCCCTGTTGTTGTATGTCAGACTGTAAGCTATTAAAGTAAATAGACTTGAGATAGGGGCAGTTGTTAGACCAATAGCCCTGTTGTTGTATGTCAGACTGTAAGCTATTAAAGTAAATAGACAGGAGATAGGGGCAGTTGTTAGACCGATAGCCCTGTTGTTGTATGTCAGACTGTAAGCTATTAAAGTAAATAGACAGGAGATGAGTCTCAAACTGCTGCCATGGTCCAGACAAAGACTGCACACGTCATTAACTTCCCCCAATGTTTGGTCCTTACTACTCCATTATGGTGATTGTGATGTGTTCCTGGTATTCTTCTTTCAGGTAAAAATGGCCCCATCTACAACATTACCTGGAACCCAAATCTGAAGTGCCAGGAGTTTTGTGTGGTTTATGGCTGTATCCTTCCCTGCAATGGCCTCCTGCTGCTGTAGTCGTCACTCCTGGTTTGGGAGGATGTCGCTACATCAGCTGGAACAGGGAGAGGGACGTCTGCAGCAGGCAGCCCTCTGTTTCACTTCATGTTCTGTCTGTCATGGGCTCCTGACCAGGCAGCCTGCAGCAGTTGATGAAGCAAGGGATGAAGTTGCCATGCACTGTATTGTGTTAGTTGTCACCGACAAGGTCAGCTGGAATTCAGTGGGATGATAATCATTTATAGCATATTCTTAGCATATATAAAGTTTCATTGATTAACAGTAGACGTGATGATGGAAATGATCTGTTTAGATTACAGTTTGACAAATTGGGAATAAGTGAAACCAACATTGTATGCATCACCAGAGATCCCTTGTTGTGACACCAATGGGAACATTTGCCAGCAGTTGTCATGTTCAACAGTTACAATAGTTCCTTAACTCTCCCAGACATGCCCTCTAAGGTGTCCATCTACAACATGAAGTGTGAGCCTGTATTTGACTTCGGCACCGGACCGCGCAACATGTGCTTCTACAACCCTCATGGAAACAATATCCTTTTCCTGTGCAGTTGTCATAGAATGATGACAAGACTGCTGTATATTCATAGACTGTTGATAACTCAAGTGATCATGTGTAAGCTTGAGTCTCTTAGGTCAAGTTACCTCCATGTCGCTGTTTGTTGTATGAGTATAATGTTTTAGTCTGATCATTCATATATCTGTGATTGGAGGTGTGAGTGTCGATATAAGATTTTTCAAACTTGCATAAAACCATCAACTTAGCTTTGTGATGCAACCTCTGAACATTGACCTTGACATTGTTTTACTTCTTTGCTTGGCTGGATTTGGAAACTTGAATGGAAATTTTGAATTCTGGGACCTGAAGCAGAAAAAGCTGATTTGCCAGATGAAGGCTCAGGACACAACCTCCTTCGACTGGTGTCCTGATGGAGAACACTTTGTCACAGCAACCACGTCTCCACGGTTACGAGTTGGCAACTGGTACGTCTGAGGAGATTGTAGATATCCATTACCATTTCCTATTAGGTAAAGCAATATCTTACTTCATGTTCGCCAGTGAATATGCAAGTGTGACTCATCATGAGTTACATGGTCTCCAGGACTCTCAGTTTTCAGATAGTCTTGCATCTTGGTATGTACTGTGGGATTAGTGAGGTGTTATGCTGCTTGTATCTCCAGCTACAAGATCTGGCACTACACTGGGACTTTGATGGCCCATCAGCCCACCAAAGAAGGCCATCAACTGTGGGAAGTTATGTGGAAACCAGTGCCTCCTGGTGTGTATAAAGAGAAGGCTGTCCGCTACAAGGCTGTGGAGTCTTCTGCTGAGGTAGAGCAGCCAGCAGGTACGCCACCTAGTGGTTACGTGTGTGGAGAACACATTGGGTAGTGTGTGAGGTAATGTTGTCATTGACAGAGTCTAAACAATTTATGAAAGGAAAGGGATGTAACAAGGTCAACACACCAAATGTGTTCTGAGACGAATTTACTGTAAATAGCCTTATAAAACTACATATAACAGTCATAAAGAGTTCATCTACATTTGTCATGCCCCTTCAACATTGATGACCTTGGTCTTGATCTACCTCTACCCTACATTGAAATTCGCCAGTGATTGTGATTGGCACATTTTATTGCCATCACTCCTCCAGCCCTACTGTGTTACACCAGCACTGTCATTTCCATGTGAACATACTCTGCCACCAGGGATAGACTACAGAACTCACTACCTTAAGCAAATACTGTTTTTCATGAGCATCCATTAATAGAACTGATCCAGATCTGATAAAAGACACAGGTACCACATGTAACAGTATTATAAATTCAAGCAAGCTGATTGCTGTGTAAATGGTAAATGTGTGACTGTTGTAAATGAGAGTTATCTCCCTCACACCACTGTTGCCTGTTGACAGCCAAGGTTGGTGTATATCGTCCACCTGGAGCCCGGGGGGAGGCTGCTAGCTTCAAGCTGCATGAGTTTGAGGCCCCAACAAATGTGAAGACTGACGCCGGACAGGGTAGGTTGTAGTAGACGGCTCGTTTCACCTTGTCTTTCCACAAATACTGAAACTGGGTGGGCTCATCCCAACTTGACTCAGTTTTAGAGCAGGTTTATATATACTGGGCCATAGTTTTAAGGTCATATATTCTACACACAAAAAGACATGGCATGTGGAAACAAAGAATATGTTCAAGTCCAGTTTTGACATATGTTAAGATACTATTGAGCAAACATTCCCACGAATCACTTCAGCGTATCTCCCCTGTTGCCCCCTGGGAGAGGATGTTTGATGCCATGACAAGTCTATGTTGTCAGGTTCACCATTGGTGTCATTGGTGTACTGGCAACAAGATGGGATTAATATTCCTCATAATGGGAAAATTAAATGGTTGTGTAAATGTTTAATCTTTTGAAACTACACTGTATTGTGAAACCTCTGTATGACTTAACGCAAGATTATGGATCACAATGTATGTTGATAAATATTGATGAGGTCAGCGTTCACATGATTTGGTGAAGTCATAATGCTTCCATGTTACTGGCAGGAAAGTTATGGAAAAGATAGGGAAGCTTCTGATATTCCTTTTATGGTTTGAACACTGGGGTGCGTAGATGGTGCAATTTTTAATTATTAGATTCGCTAGCGCTCGTCTGATTTTAGAAAGTTAAAAATGGGGTGATCGGAAAGTTTCCTCCTTTGCAGAATACTGTCTAGGTGTGAACTTATCTTTGCTATGCAGATAAACCTACGGGTCAGGCTCTGAAGAACAAGAAGAAACGGGATGCCAAGAAGGCCAAGGCAGAGCAGGTCAGTCGTCTCTGTGTTTATTATGTTATGTTTGCTGTAAGAGCTGACAACCTTTATGATCCCTGTCCGGAATCTGAGTCAGAATAGGTCCCCAGCAACCAATGGTGGTAATAAGACGCCCCAAATGGATTGGATGGTCAGTCTCAACTTGACAATCACTGGATTGTCTGGTCCATACATTGTGTGCAGACAGCTGTTATACAGCTGGAATATTGTTTCGTGAGACATTGAAACAACAACAAACAATGTAAAAGCTGACTAGACAGAGGATTATGTGAAAGTGGTGCTTGTGTCTTGTAACCGAGGTGATTTTGATGGCTGTCAGCAACAATAATATCTATCTTGTGATTTTCCAGAAAAGGAAAGAGGAAGAAGAGGGTGGATCCAGTGTGCAGACCTCTTGTCCCCCTCAGTCAGCACAGCAGGGGGGTAGGGTTGGAGGGAACGGAGGGGGTGGTGCAGGACCATCCCAGCATGCACCTATTGACCCAGAATTGGACAAACAGAGGAGGAAGATCAAAAAGGTATGTGCTGGTTGAGGGACTGCCTCTCACACACACACACACCAGGAACTGGGTAGAGTTTAGGGGCCTGTTCCAGCTGCTGTTGTTGGTCAGGATAGGACAGTCAATTGAGGGAAGAACTGTACCCAGGATGTTTAACCTTACAGGTTAGGTTGTCTGGGATCTACCCTGACTAAAAGAAACTCTTTCTGTGTCTGATATATTATTTAGAGAGGTTTTCTTTGCATTTGGAGACACCAGCTTTGTGTAGTTGTGTCTGTTGTATATCTGATGCTGTTTGTTTTGCAGAAGTTGCAGCAGATTGATAAGATTAAAGATCAGCAGCGTGATGGGAAGCAGTTGGAGATAAATCAGGTTGGTTGTGTGTTTCACATTCATCATGCTGATGTACACCACCAGTGGGATGGTGTGTATTAGGTTCCCATAGTGATAAAGCAGGCTGCCCAGTCACAGTGGAGTTCACTTCATCCACGAGGGAACTGACTGTTCCCACTAGCATGGGAACCGCTCACTTTGCCTTGTCTACAGTTAGTCATGAAGTGTGTGGCCACCTTCAGTAGCTCATTTACCCTCATGCATCCAAACCCAGACTAAATCCATCGAAATGGAGAAGATGGCATTCACAGAGGATAATTTGTCATGGCTTGTCATAGAATAACTCAACAAAGTACACCTGAAATGGTATACTCACTCAACCTTTCAGATGGAAAACAAAAACATTTTACTTGCCTCCATAGTCAAGTGACTATGACTGAGTGTCTGTCCAGACTGGGAAAGGTCTTTGGTTCTGTTCCTGCAGCCTCAAATCAAAGGTTGCTGAAAGATGGTCCTTTGTGTTTTCTATACTGTGTCTGGGAGGGGTGTCCATGTTAACCTCAAAGAAACGCATGCAAAATCTACAGCGGTTGATTGGTTATGTCTGAGGATCACATATACTTATGGAAAATTAACTGTGTGTAACATAAAATTGCATAAGATAAAACTAAACCTAAATAAATATGTAGCAAATCACCTTGCATAAAATTTGATGTTACGTATTGTGCCTGGCACACGCACTTTGTGCACAATGAACTTGAAAATTGAATAATGATTGAATATTGTCTACCCTCTGAATGTTATGGAAAACATGTTAATATCAACCTAAACCTGTGAAGGGCCAGGTTAGAATTGATCTTCAGCAACCCATGCTTGTCGTAAGAACTGGCTAATGAGATCGGGTGATCAGGCTCGCTGACTTGGTTGACACATGTCATCGTATCCCAATTGCGTTGATCGATGCTCATGTTGTTGATCACTGGATTGTCTGGTCCAGACTTGATTATATACAGACCACCGCCATATAGCTGTAATATTGCTGAGTGTGGCGTAAAACTAAACTCACTCACTCACTAATATCAAACTAAACTACGTGTACGTCATGTCAAGGCTTACAGAAAATTAGTATCTACACGCCATGGGTATGTATGCTGGAGACTGGAATGGCCCAAAATGAAGTGGCCAGGCATTTTGGCGTCCATTGAAACACGATCTCATCTCTTTGGAGACGTTTTCAACATAATGGGAACACGAGAGATTTTTCTCAGACTGACCGTCCATGCATGACGTCACATCAGCAAGACGACCATATTCGGCTGACCCATCTAAGGAATCAATTCCAGACTGCCAGTTTGACTGCTCATACGAGTCCTGGCTTATGTCCAATCAGTTCCAGGACTGTATGGAACTGACTGAGGGAGCACAACATCCGGCCCCGATGGCTAGCAATACATCTAATTTTGCTCCAACATCACCAACAGGCACGTCTTGCCTGGTGCAGACAGCATCTACAGTACAGGAGACAGGTTGGGATAGTGTTTTGTTCACTGTAAGAGTTGGGATTTCATCTGGACAGCTCAGATGGCAGGGCAAATGTGTACAGATGGCGAGATGAACGATATGCTGATACGTGCATTGTTCAACATTGACAGTTTGAAGGTGGGGGTGTTATGGTATGGGGAAACATCACATCTCATGGTCGGACACAACTTGTCATTGCCAATGGCAATGTGACAGGTCTGCAATACAGGGATGAGATTACTGGGCCTCATGTGCAGCTGTTCATTCAAGGTCAGAGACAGAACTTCACGCTTCCGCAAGATCATGCCTGTCCACATGTCACTCGTGTTGTGACAGATATCCTCAGACAGCAGAACATTCTGCTACTCCCCTGGCCAGCTGTTTCTCCAGACCTGTCCCTATCAAGCACACCTGGGTTTAAATGGAGCGACATTTACATCAAGCCCAGAATCAGCCATTGACGTTAGCCGAATTAGGACAAGTGTTGGGTCAGACATGGAACAACATTCCCCAAGCTTTCTTCAATCACTTAGTGTTGTCTGGGCGTCGTCATTGTTGGACACCCACAATACTGAATTTGTGAACTGACTTTTGACACCACATCTCTTCAAGGGCGGGTCACGATGCCTAGTGTCAAATTGACCTTGCAGTACCTGGATCTTGTACTGCCTCACTTTATTAGCAAATTTCCGAAATAAAACTGCATAATCACTGAAAAACCTTTGGAAGTTAGTCCAGATGTACTGAAGTACTCAAATCTTTCCTTATCCTGACTCATGCTAAATGCTTGTCTCTTTCTACTTGCGAATGATAGTGGTACACTTGAAATCCCTTGAAGTTCTAAAAAGCAGACGTGAATTCATCACAAAGCAAACAACATACACTAAAAAGCTTGCAGTTCTCTCTCTTTCTTCTCTGAAAAACAGGGACCACATGTGGAACAGATCACCTCAGTGTGAGTCTTGTCAGTATCACATTATGTTATTGTACTTCTTGAAGGATGTAATTTTCTGACTTAAATTGATATTTTATACTTATCCTGACTCATGCTAAATGCTTGTCTCCTTCTTCTTGTGAATGATAGTGGAACACAGGAAATCCCTTGAAGTTCCCTTCTAAAAAGTGGACGTAAAATCATCACTCACCCACGAGTGGCCTCCCTTGCCTCCTTGGTGCCCTTTTGGTCACATGACCAGCCATGTTTTGTCACTCTCTCCTTCTTCGCCCTTGAGGACGGTTGTGAGAGAAGCTGGGAAATTTGATCTAAAGTATTCGTTGTTTGACATGTTTTTTCATCGTGTTTACATTTGATGAAAACTTGTATTCGTTGTAGGCTACCGACTGTCTGCGGGTGACCCACATTTATTATGTCCTGATTGCACTACTTCATGTTCTTTCAGCTCTCGCTGTAAACATTGTCTGAATTTAACAACTTTTGAATTTAATTACTACCTTTTTTGCCCATTCATAGACGTGCAAAGGACTGGGTAAGAAGGTATTCACAAGTCATTACTAACTCGAGTGATTGTGCTGATAACCGTGTGTTAACTACTGCTGCCGATGTTCATAATTCCAGTGGATCCGTGAAGATCCGGGGTAGAATAGGTCTTCAGCAACCCATGCTTGCCACAAAAGGCGACTATGCTTGTCGTAAGAGGTGACTAACGGGATCGGGTGGTCAGGCCCGCTGACTTGGTTGACACATGTCATCGGTTCCCAATTGCGCAGATCGATGCTCATGTTGTTGATCACTGGATTGTCTGGTCCAGACTCAATTATTTACAGACCGCCGCCATATAGCTGTAATATTGCTGAATGTGGCGTAAAACTAAACTCACTCACTCACTCATAATTCCAGTGAATTGCCGAGTGTTTTACGGGGGCAGGTTGTTGTTCCAGTGATGAACTCTGGAGCCAATAAGAGATCGTCGTCAATGGAGCTGACCTCTTCGCAGACGAAGAAGACTAGATCGTCTTCAACGCAGAAGAAGAAGGCTACTACCCCTAAGACTTCGTCGAAGTCTCTACACAGCTCTACGCAGAAGACGAGATCCTTCTCTGCCGAGATTGTACCTCCGGAAGAAGCAGACATGTATGATGATCCCCCCATCCTCATACCTAAAGTCACAGTCGTCAGCAAGAAGACGAAGCCTGCTTCTACAGCTACATCGGCAACCTTATCAGCGCAGACATTGACAGAAGACCTTCTATCAACACAGACATCGGGTACCAGAGATAGCAGCAGCGTCAACTCTTCACAAGTGCAGTGTACCTTAGAAGACGCCTCATCGATGTCAGAAGCATCATCAACCCTGCAGCAGTCTCTTCAGACATCGCAGAACTTCAACCTGGGGCTGTTTATGCAACAGTTTACAGACCAGATGATGTCGATGATGGAACGTTGCTTCGCACAGGAGAAAGCTGCTACAAAGACCACTGATGACTACTAGCCTGCGTGAAGATTCAGCAGTCTCTCCAACGCACATGGAAGAAGAAGGAAGCCTGCATGAAGGCCCACGATCTTCCCCATCTGAAGTTAAGAGCCTGGACAACGCTACTAACGTCAGCTCAGCCTTATATGTCCCTGAAGGAGCCGCTAAGAATTCTCCACACAGAAGCAGATCGAAGTGTTCTCCCGAACCCTACAGATGTCGTAGATACGGGTCGTCATCACCGTCGGACTTGGACGCATATCGGGAACCTGCACGCAGGCACTCCACATCTTACAGAGGGGAAACAACGCCTAAGAATCAACTTTCACGCAGGCCTAGAGAGAAATCTCAAGACTCCAGAAAGGATACACTATCACATCGAGATTGATGAGGACTACAAGATCATCAGCGACTCCCGCTATAGAACTTACAAGATAGAGGACAACAAGTTAGCGCAACTGGATACGACTACTAGACGTACCTTCTTCAGACTAGCCAGGTCTAGGGCTATCAACGAAGCACTCATCTCGAAGTTCAAGATCTCCACCGCCGAAGACGACCGGATGATATATTCTGCGCTACTGACTCAGAAAAAAGGACCACCAGTTTATGTCGGAGCATCTAGCATCCACATCAGCGGACCTGACTCTCCTGAGGAGACAAGGATTATTGTCATCGTGCACCTGGAGTGAGCGGTTCACCAAGTCCTTATACAGAGCCCCATGGTCAGCATCATCCATCTTCCGGAGGAGGAATTGAAGAAGTCGCCAGAGAGGTCACACACGAATCAAGGGAGGTCATGATGATAAAGTCCATAGATACCTTGGCAAATGTGATTTGCCAGACGTCCCAGCGCTACTCCAACAAATCCAAGTTTGCAGGAGTTCAGAGAGCCAGAGAAAAGAAGTCTTCCAGCTCAAGAGGAGGAAGAGGTTCTTTTGGAGCCCCCAGAAGTAACCCCGGAAGAGTCCGAGCACCCAGGGGTGCCAGGGGAACCAAGCGCTGAAGGACAGGTTTGGAACGATTGGAGTCTTCTACCCCTAGCCGTTCCTGTACAACCTTTGACAGTGGGTGGACGTCTTCAAC